AACTGTCCTGAAGTGAGATACCTGAGGAGGAGTTGTTGTCCAATCTGTAGTTGGATGATGACGTAGTTGGAGGTGTTGCCAGTTAGTTGTAGTTGTAGTGTGGAGTGAAGTTGTGTGGTAGTAGTGGACATTGGCTGCTTCAGGTAGTGAAACGCTGAGCAGTCCGTGAGGTGTAGTTGTTCCATGACTGTTGCCGGGTTGTAGTACGCCGTGGTGGGGTGGTGTTCCTTGGTCACTGGAGTCGGTAGTGACCGCCACCTCAGGTGTAGTCGCCCTGTCAGGCGTAGTCGCATCTCCCATCGTAGCATCTGTAGTGGATGGAGCTGCCATTGCTGCAGTGGAATGCAAAATGTAGAGAAACGGGGCAAAAACAAAATGAGCCTGAGTAGTAGCTATCAGGCAGGCGGCGCATGCAGACATGTAAAACAAACAACTGTAGTGCTGACTCAAGCCGCCAAAAGTGCAAGTGAAAATGCACGTAGTTACTGTTACTTACATACCGAAGGTGTCGTGTTACATGTAGCTTCTTACATACAAGAAAATGTTCAAAGTCGTTGTTGTTGTGAAACTGTCGTGCTGGTCGTTCGTAGTGCTACATGGTGAAGTGTGTTGATCTTAAGGATTCTGATGATGTCGTGTTTGATGAGGTCTTGTGTGTAGAGAAATTTGAGGTCGATGTGCTTTGCTCGTTTGCTGGTGCCTTGTCGTGTAGCAATGCTCTTGCCTGCTGTGGAGTCTGTGTGGATGCGTAGGTTTAGCTGGCTGCACATGTTGGTTTCAAGTAGGAAGTTTGGTGCAGTCCCTCATTAACTCCCGTGCGAATGGCGTAGAGTTCAGACTCTGCTGAGCTGAGTGCTATGGTAGCTTGTGTTCTGCTGCCAAATGCAACTGTTGTTCCTAAAGAGATGATGTTGAAACCTGAAGTTGATTTCCTGGTAGTAGGCATCCTGCCCAGTCGGCATCGACATGAACGTCGAGATCCAGGATGTTGTTGGTGTTTGCTCTGAGTGTTGTTGTTGGTTCTATGGTGAATTTGTAGTGCTTGGTGCAAGTAGCGAAGTAAGTGTTTGACTCTCTTTTGTGAAAGTGCTGTAGGTGCTGTGAGGTCTCGTGCTAGTTTTGTAGAGTATGCGATGTCTGGTCGTGTGTATGCTAGCCATTGAAGTTTGCCAACAATCCTTCTGCACCTTTTGTGTTGTTCGTGGTCAAGAAGTGCTTCATCCCCTATCGTTGGTTTGTAGTGGGCGATTCCTGGAGTGGTCACAGTGTTGCAGTTGGTCATTCCAGACTCCTTGATCATGCTGTCGATGTAGGAGTCCTTTAGTCCAAGGTTGCAGTAGTTCCCGAAGTGGTCGATGTTTCTTCCAAGAAATAGTTGTGGTTTGCCAGGCTCGAGGTAGCCAATGTGCTGGAGTAGGACCTGCTTCTGGATGGCCTCGAAGATGGAGTCACCGTAGTCTTGTCTCCAAGTACCAGTAGATCGTCCACGTAGACCATTATGTAGCAGTCGCGAGTCGCATTGGTGTAGACGTTAGGTTCTGACTTTAGTCTTAGAAAGCTGAGCTTTTGTAACACTTCAGCCAGGCAGTCCTGCCACGCTTTTAGTGAACTGCGTAGTCCATACATGGCTTTCTTCAGTCGCCATATTTTGTCCTGTTGTGGGCAAAGTTCTTTAGGTGGCCAGAGGTAGACGCCGTCGTGGTCTTTCGCGATGGGTGCGTGTAGCAATGCTGTAGAGTCCATTTTGGTCGTGACATTTGTAGTGCGAGGAGTGACCGGAGTGTCGTGAACATTGGTGTAGAGGCGTAGACGGAGTCTTCGTCCTCGATCTTCTCCGTGTAGCCTTTTGCGACGATTCGGCTTCGCACTCCTGGTCCTTTCTTTCTGTGGACCCATCTTGTAGGTATTGCTTCTCTGATGACGTTGTCGTCGACGGTAGACGTATCTACTTCGTCGTAGACGTCATGTAGTTTCATTTGGTTTGACTCGTGTTTCATTCCTTCCAGTAGTTGTGTTTCGTCGTAGCCTTCGTTGTCGAAGACTATAGGTTGGTCTTCTGAGGTGTCGTCGTTTGTGTAGGGGGTGATGGATGCTCCATTGGGAAGCGTCACTGCGTTGATTTTCTGTCGTAGGCTGCAGTAGTCAACATGCATGCAACACAAATGCAGGAAGTGAAGCATGTAGTCTGACATCTCTCTCTCTCTCTCTCTCTCCGCCGTTGCGTCCAGAGGGTCTTGACACGTTGGCTGTGCACTGCCCTTGTTACAGCAATGGGTTGAACGAGCAGAGTTCACGGTCCATGCAATTCCAGCTAAATGGAATTTGGCAGATCTTGGCACTAAGCGAATTCTGCACACCGAGCCTGGAGAGTTGCCGTAGGCGAGGCGCAAAATCAAGCGAGCGTTTCATGGAGATGTGATACAAGTCTACGTGTGCAAACATCTGAAGCGAAACCATTTTTAGACGAGTCACACAAGCTCTCGCGCGGAGCTTTTTGATGGCCATGAGATGTTCATTGCAAGGATGCGGCAGTGACAATTTGCTTGCAGGTGAACCATATGTGGCATGGCGTTCTACACTTTACTTAGCTTGTTTGTCGTTTTTCTTGCTTGAAGATTTGAGGAGATGGTTTGCAGCACGAACTCTCGCAGAAGCAGATTGCGCTGGCGCACATCGGGCGCGGCCTTGAGCTCACCAAGTGGTGACCCGGTGTTCACCTGAACTCTGAAGTCGATGCGGCTAGAATCACGCCACCTGGATGGCATCATGGATTGGACTGAGCTGGCGTTTTGCTTGCACCTTTCGCCAAATGGTGACGAGGCAATGGGAAGAAACCTAGAGTTTCACTTTGTGATTTTCAGGCAGCGTGAGCACTAAACATGTGCCATGTTTGACATAGGTTGTGACAACCTTGTGCGCTAAATGCTCTGAATCTGTTTGCTAAGAAGCCTGTGAAGCATCCTGTATAAGGCGAAGCTCCTTGTAAAGCTTGCTCGAAAGCTCTCATAAGGCTCGCATATTCTTTTCCGGAGCCTTTGCTGCTGAGTGGGAAAAGTAGTGCGTTCCCAAGGTTTGCAAAGCCGGATTGTCTCTCTGACCTGCGCCGAGCTTTGTTGCTAGCAGGCTTGTGTGTTGTCGTGGGCCAATCTCTTGTCAAGGGCTTCATTGTCCTAGTGTTGACCATCTTTGGCGTGTGACTTGGGTCCCAGCCACCTTCACTATGCTGGGTCCCAATCTTGACCATTCTATCCGGAGTATGAAGCGTTGAGAGGTCAGATTGGCGGGTGGGTTTTCTGCAACAGCGCCAGATGCTTTGGACTTTCCGTTCGTCTTTTCGGCCTTTTCCTTTTCCGCCGTGGTATGATGGATGATTGAAAGGATTCTGATCCTGGTGCTTTCCTTTCTTTCCCTAATTTGCCTGGTCGTAGGTGTGGGCGATGCAAAGGGGAACGTGCAGCGTGATGCAACTTGCTTAAGCTTGCATGACACCCTGTCTGATTGCGAATGCATCATGATCTCACATATCTTCAGTTCCCATGGAAGCTTCATTTCCATCTTCATACAAAACCCTTCTTCTCCTTCGTGTTCTCCTTGCTCGAGAACGTAAAGATGTTCTGTCGGTATCCCCTGGCGGTCAAAGTGTTGGATCTTGGGTCAGTGAGTGACAACACGTCACGGCGTGCCCTTCGGGAAGTGCCTCTTCAGCCTGGTCTTGAAGCGCTTGACTCCTTCGTCAAGCAAATAGGTTCCTCATATCTGAACCAGCTGACTTTTCCGTCATATGATGGCGGCTGCTTGGCGGTCATCGATACAAAGCGTCTCTTCACTGGCGACGGCCTGCGCTGGAAAAGTTTTTCATGAAGCCCTCTCCAGCTGCTGACACTTTGACTTGGATCTTCTGAAACACCTGCTTCGCTACCACAATTCAGGGGGGCAACTACCCTTGATGAGGTATGAATGGTATAGCATACTGGGAGTGAGCTACTGGGAGTGAGCGCAGCGAGCTCTTGTTTCTAGAGCGAGCGCACACTCTAATGCCTGGAGCCAACATGTGCACGTGATACAAATGCCCCCCAGCCCCCCCTTCTCGTCACAGGGCAGAAACAAGTCCGTGTTAGCCACGCCACACAAGCAGGCAAGCCAAAGTCTGCAGCTTGCACGCGTCAAAGGACATCCAGATTGGGCCCCGGACCAGATGATGGTTCACCACCGCCTCACAACTTAGAAATAGATTTCAGATCCCTCGCGCCCCGGATAAAGCACACCTCACTGCGTCGAATGCCTCAACTCCTGGTGAACTTGCAAGCGAGCATCATGGTGTCGCGCATCCTGTTACAATTTAGTCTGCCTCGTGCCTTTGCCGCCACATTTGCTGCCACATTCCCAGATCACGCGCTTATCGCCGTGTTCATTTGACGACTCCGTGGTGCTTTTGCTGCGAGCCGTGCGAAAGCAAAAAGCGGGCTACGTCCCTTGCGTGATCGGCGAGGTACTGCCAACTGGCAGGCTGCGTCGAATGCTCTTGGGGCAGCTGCAGATGCAGGACGAGGTTGCGCAGCACCGCTAACTGAAACTTTTCGCAACACAACAGCAAGACCAATGGCGAGGACTTCTTGCGGCATCACTTGGCAAAAGCAGTGTGGGCAAGGGGCTCGCAACCGCCAGTACAAACGGCACGCCCCATTGCCAAGGAGTTGCCCATTTGCATCTCTTGGGGAAGTGAGAGAAAGGAAGTGAAGTTGAAGTAAAATGACGAAGGAAAAGAGCGCCGGACGAAAGAAGACGTGGCAGGAAAAGAGGGGCTTCTGAAGTGAAAAGCTGTTGAAGCCATCATTTTCACTTCCTTTTACCCTTCCCCCTCATTTCCCTCTTTCACATCGCCTCTCTCAACTCTCCTGCCCAGAACCCATCTAACTCCCATCTTGGAACATGTGCAAAAATAACTCCCAACTTCGACTCCTCAAGCGGCTTCAACTCCAAAAACCGGGCTGCCAAGAGACAGATGCCTCAAGTGCGTCCCGGAGCCGCGCCACGTCGCTCTCTGCGCTTTTCGCCGCTGCCACGTGCCCCGGGCGCCGGCCCCGGCCAGCGCGCCCCGCCAGCTGCCGCAGCTCCGAGGCCGACAGAAAACCTAAAACAGAAAAAACACGAGAAAAGGGAAAGAAAGACTCGATGAAGAACAACAACTGACACACGCAGGGCTTCCTGTGCGGTTGTTTCACCACCAAATCAACCGGTGTACATATTTCCGGATTGATACATTGCCATGGATCGACCCGCGCGGGAGACCTGTTGCGTGAAAGCTTGTACATGTAGCAGACAATGCTTTGCAGTTTGGAATACATTTCCAAACAATGGCCCTTGTCCACGTCGGACAAAACAAACCTGTGGAGAAGACAAGCATTTGGGATGAGAGAGACGGCAACTTTGAACAGCTTGGGCTTCAATGATACACAAAACACAACATCTGGACCAAAGAGCCATTCACATTCGTCATGATTCACGATGCCACACTCAAATTTACACCTTCTATAGGGATGATCAGTTCAAACAGATCAGCTACATGGTTTCGTCTGTGATTGTGTCAGTCGCCTGGTGGGATACAGCTTGATGGGCTACATGACCACTTTCAACAATGGGTGCAAGTTCTTCAGGCACAGCTGATGTATATGTGACATACACCACCCATCCCTTGAGAGTACACATGGCGATCGGGACACTTCTTGGGTGGACAGTCAATGAGTCAAGTCAGGAGGCTGAACACACTGCCAGCAACAGCTTTGATGCATGCTACAACTGCACAGGCTATTGACTAGATGTTGGTTGTATGTTCTTTTGCGGCATTTGCGCACGTGCCTTTTGAACCGTTTGCCAGCGTTCCAGCGTTCCAGTGTTCCTGCAGTGTTCTAGTGTGTTCCAGCGTCCCAGTGTCCCAATCTTCCAGCGTTCCAACGTTCCAGTGCCATTGTTCCAGTCCCAGTGTCGCGGTGTTGTAGTGTTCCAGTGCTCCAGTGTTCCAATGTTCCAGTGTCCCAGTGTTTGAGAAATTCAGTGTCCCGGTGATGTCCCAGTGTCCCAGCGTTCCAGCGTTCAAGTGTCCCTGTTCCAATGTTCCAGTGTTTTGAGGCCTGCCACTGGGCCGCTGCTCCGACCATTGCCTGCATCATGTTCCACACTCCTAGGATGATCTTTACACATTTACATACAAACGGATTGGGTCTTGTGCGCCTGTGCGCGAGAGGACATTCTTGTATAGTGCGGGACGCACAACTCTCCTGATGTGTCATTTTGCATCAAGGCCTTGAGCCTGTAAATGAGGAAAACCACAGCCGTGCCGACACACTTCACAGGTTTGCGCATCAGGAGACATAGTTGCTCCAAGTTTAACATTGCGCAGCATTTTCACAGATAGATGTACATATGCATGATGTAACGCATGCGCGGCGGCCTGACACCGACCCAACCCTGAAACCAGCACACACGAAACTTGAGAATAAGAAGTAAGGACATAATTGGCATCGGAAGCGAACAAGATGACACAGAAAGCGGGACTCTACAGAAGAAAAAAGCTTTGATCCAAGCTTGAAGAATCAGAGCAGCAAACGTCAATGATGGAGGCGGAAATCCAGCCCGCTATTTCGAGGAACTGATCGAACGGCCTACACAAAGCTACCGAAGGGAGAAACTGAGAACAGGAACTCCATTCCTGAGCACCTGTCCACGTGTTCCCAACTTGCGTCATGGGGAACACGCAAGCTTTGAGTCCTTTGGAGACACCTCGCCTGAAAAACATGGTTCTTTGATTCGACGACTTTGGAAACAACAAGTGCTCTTCGGCGTAGAATCCCCTCGGTTGCTTTTTGAACCCCTGCTAATAGTTTAACTTTTAGTGGTATGGAAAACCAATTAGTTGGCAAAAGTTAAAGTCCCAACATCCAAGCAAAATGCACCAAAGAATCGCCGCTGCTCGCCATCAAACTTCTGGAAGGACGCGAAGATGACTCGCCGAATCCGCAAATTCAGACCCAGGCCGATGGCGTCGGAGGCGACCAAAACCTCGGCCTCTTGGGCGTTGAAGAGCCTTGCCTGGTGCTGTCGCACTTCTGGCGGCAGACCTCCGTAGATCACGGCCACACGGAAGCCCAAGCCTTCCAGCTGCTTTTTCGCCGCTAGGACTTCCACGCGGCTGAAGCACAATAAGCAGTCCTCGGCCTGCAGAGACGAAAGCTCCACCGGCGCTTCGTCAAATAGAAGCGGCGCAAGACGTTCAAAGCGCCTCACTTTCAATGCGTCCCCGCAGGCTGTGGCCATCGCCTGGAAGAGCTGCTCCAAGCCGTCTGACGGGGACCCGCAAAGGTGAAGCGCCATGGCTTTGAGCCCCAACAGCGCCCGGGTCCAGGCGGCGCCTCGGTTTGGGTCACTGACCAGCTGGGCCTCATCCACCACCGCCACCTCCCACACACTTGGCTCACTTGGGTCACGCAAAGTTCTTCCCTTAAGGGGCGCCATTTCAATGGTGCAGGCCACATGAGAGGCGTCATCTGGGCCCAGCTGCTCCTGACCCGTGCGCAGTGCGCAATGCAGCCCCGCAGAGCGCATGCGCTCGAAGACTTCCCACGCCAGCAGCCGCAAGGGCGCCAGGTAGATCCCGGTCCGGGCGTTGAAGAGATGTTTCAAGGCTTCGTGCGTCTTCCCCGAGTTTGTCGCTCCCATGTGTAGAAACCAGCGCCGCCGTAACTGGCGGGCACCTGAAAAGGCCGACCATGACTCCGGGCGCTGCAGGTCCGCCAAGGCCTTGGCCCGGCGCAGCGATGCCAACTTCTTTCCATATTTCTCGTAAACAAAGGCCACCGCTGCCTCAAAAATTGCAGGGGGCACCCCAGACACTCCGGCCGGACCCGCCGGAAGTTTTTTGCGTAGTAAAAACCCGTGGAAGTCCTGGGACAACCTCTCACTCTGCAACACGAAATAGGGGATGCCCCGCTTGGCAAACTCGTCAGCGCAGGTCGACATCAGCAAGCCCCACCATGCGCTCGACTTGTGCGTTTCCCGGGGGCAAGCTTGAATATCATTGACATCAGACACACGCGCAGCGAAACCTTGCTGGGATGCGGCTCTCAACTTAAGCCCTGGCAGTGGACTTTGAATAGCACATCGCACCACGCGCGGCCGCCATCGCAACATAGCTCGACATGTCCTGTCCAGCACCACAGACAACCTTGCTACGCATGCAGCCTGCTCCGGCTGTGTGTTGCGTGCTCTGCTTTTTTGATGTTGAACACCGGGCTTGCGCCAAAGGCCGCAGATTGCAAGGTAAAGCGTCAGGAATAGCAGAAAATGAACAAGTCATTGCTCGCCACGCCGCGGCGGAAGAGAACATAAACCAAAAGAGCAATGTCCAGATTCTGTGCGCTTGCATGGTGCTCCTTACATGTTTCAACAGGCCTTCAGCTCAACGGGTCTAATTTTTCCCAGAAGTGCAATCCAATTCAAAGTCATAGGCAAACAAATTAAACACATGGCCTGACATGCTTACGTCCGCCGCGATGCAAACTGCAACAAAAAGCGCCCGTGCTTCGTGTGGACGCACTTGCTTCAGGTAGGTCCGCAGAAAACGAATATCCATGACGAGCATAGTCCACCACCAATTTGTAGCCAAGAATGATTTGCAACATCGAACACCCATTGACCGCCAAATGCCTGGCATCTCCAGAGTAGCAGTCGCCGATGACGATACTGTACGGAAAAGAAAATATGTTGGCGGGTGACTAACGCAACGACTCATGCAAATATTTTAAATTGAATATGGTACCATACACGATGTGTACCATAATGCCGTCGTGAGATTGTGTTCTCCAAGCATTCTCCTTCGTCGAAGATCAGTCAGAGCGATTTGGCGCTTCAAGTCAGTGAAGAGAGGACCGGTCAAAGAGGTCAAAAGGATCTATTCCCGCATTGTCGAGAACGAGATCTGTCCAGGCTTCAAAGACGCTGTGGGCGTGACCCCGGTCGACTTCCTTGGGAACCTCAACATCTTGGATGATGAGGACTCCGCAGACGCTGACATTCTGAGGAGAATGGTTGTCAAGGCACGCATCAACGTTCATGAACCCGAAGTGTGGAACGATTCGTTGATCGAGATCAGGACTTACTCAGCAGGTTCGTCGTCTACCGCGAGGATGATCCATCCAACATATCCAACCGGGTTTGCCCTGCGTGCGCTACCGTTGTCCCGAGAGGATTTTGCTATTGCACAGCATGCCACTGCGAGCTTATATCCACCGGAAGTTCGTCATCAATGTGGATGACGAGGAACCCAAGGAATCCGACACCAACAAGATGACGGAAGACGTGAGAAGGGCTCAGCGTGAAGCGAGGGAAGACGCTGGGCGAATTGACGCCGATGAGGATAGACCAGAAGCCAATGAGATGAGTGAGGAGCGAGGGAATGACTTCAAAAGCAACAACCGTTCCACCCGATGTGACACCTGACTGGTACACGGACAAATTTCTTGTTGGCACATAGATGGCAATGAGGTCATCCCCTTCCTTACAGACAATGTAGTCTTGGTCAAGATATTCTCGTTGTCCCATGGTGCAAACACTCCAAAGTGTACCGCCAGTCTTCGTGCACTATCGTTACCACCTGGCAATGCCTCGCATGATGATACCTTTCAGGGCCGACGGTTTTGTCACGTGGAATGCGCCGCCCAAGCAATCGGATATGTTCGGCAGGACGAGCGAATCCGAAATTCGAATGTCCCGATGATGCTCGAATGCACCAGGGTTGCCACCATCCGTTGTGCTCGCGACGAATCCAGTCGATCGTATCGTTGTCGATCTCTTGGTCGAATCTCGCAGCGAGAATCTGCAGCCTCGGTTTTCGCGCGCTCCGGTCCTCTGATCTGATACACTTGGTGATGGCCTGGAATCGCTCGCCCTTCTTGTACCGGTTGTGCGGGAACACGTCCTCGCGGTCCGTTCACCCATCCCCCACCATTGCAACGAGTATGGCGGCCTTCTTGGATTCGGCGTGCCGCTTCAATTGGGAAAACACTTTGAACAACTTCCAAAATTCAAGCTGTTTTTCTTGGATGAGTTTGCCTGTTTCTGGTCCTCGTGTTATGTTCAATCTCGCCCATGATGGTCCCCCCCGTGCTGGGATAGCAGGTCATCCTCAAGCGTGATCGTACCCGGAACAGAACATGCCAGGACGACCGTAGGCCTAGAAGGGTGGATTGCCGTGAGGGTGACCTCTGTGCCAGTAGTCATGCCGGGTACAGTAGCATAGCCAGGCAGGCCAAGTACCGCGCCAGTGTGACTCACAAAACGAAAAGAAATATTTGCATTGGGACCAGCAGGTTGCAACTTGGTTCGAACAGCAACCCTATACGGGACAAAGAAGCCATGATTGTCGTGTTCGCGGTGGTGTGCGTGCATGCGACGCATCATGACCTTGAAGCACCGCAGAGCGCGTGCGGGTAGACAATTGAGAGGCGTGTCCAGGATGTCCTCACCATCAACTTCCTGAGTCATCGCTCCCGAAGTGCCGCCGTGGCTCGATAGCCGGGGCCACGGGTACGGCAGGCTGGACAGGATGGAACTGCCAGACCGTACGCTCGACGTATTTGTCGATGCGCTCCCATTGCAAAGCGGGTTCAACGCGATCCTCAACTTTCTCCCAGGATCCACCGCGCAGAAACCAAGTGGAACGCAACCACCGTGTGCCGACAGGGCATTGTACTGATGGTGGTGAACCTTGTAGGTTCATGTGACCACCAGATGTCGACCACAAAGAGTCGGCGCATCCAGAAAAGTCAGCGTCGGCACACACTGCCAAATACAAATTATCGACTGAATCACCCACCCAGCCGATCATCCTCCAGTGCTTGGTGTGATGAATGTAGCACATCAAGTGATGAAGTTACTTATCGTCGTCAGTTGTCCACTTGGTGATGTTCCTCGCTAAGCAAGTCAAAACGTGCTATCCTAGCACCATATAGTACCTTCATGAGCACACTTGCTGCATGGGGTGCGAGTTGTCCACGAACAGGCTCCGGATGAGCTCTTTCCGAAGTCCCTGCTTGGCATGATGGAGTTTGATAGCCATTCGCGGGTACCCTATTTCCACAACAGTTGCATTCGAGGGTCTGGTCTGGATCGGGGCCCTTGACGGGTGATCCTTCGTCTCCTCATGAGGACCAGGTGTGGAAACCTTCTTCCATTCAACGTTGCCTGCTACTTCGGAACTGCTCCATGTCGTAAGTCACAGTGGTGACTGTATGGCCGTTGCCGAGAACCACAGAACCTTTGGACTGATTGCAACCCAGATACAAATCCAGCCTGGTATCCGGCTCGATGATAAGCTTCTGACGAACCCTTTTTTGATGTTTTTTCTTTGAACCAGCCATCTTGAAGTCATCCACATAGACCACAAGAACCAACTGTAGTTGGGGATGGGTGTAGACAGAAGGGCATTCTTCATCAACTGGCTCGAAGCCCATTGCACGCACTGATTCATCGCAGTGCTGTTCCCAAAGCGTTCCAGCATCAGCATGACCGTGCAAAGCCTTCGCACCACAGGTCTTTTGAACTGATTCCATCGTTCTGTCTCGTCCTCAGGAGCGGCTTCGGATGGAAGCTCGGTCCAACAAGGCGTACCCCGTAGCGTGGCATTCTTGGATATATACCTGTGCCACATCAGCCACCTGCACATCCTACCCATCGAGGCAACCGAAAAAGTCAGCCCATCTGGAAGCTTTGCAAGTTGCAGGAGAATTGCCCAGATCTTGAAACAATGCCGCGTCCGACGTCTGGTTCTTGATCTGGTTTCCAAGCACTACCCCACGCCCCTTATGTTTTCTGCGCGGGTCTTCCTCCAAAAGCTCGGAATGTTTCTCAACTACAATACCGTGCGCCCTGGCCATATGCACTTCTACCGCTCTTCTGTTTCGCCTCGCGAACAACATCATGATACTCGCGGATTACAGATAGATCGAAAACCACTCCTTTTTCATGGAGTCCATCGCTTTGTGTTGCTGAGCACCATCAGCGACGCTGCACAGGTTCGTAAACCTAAATCACGTGCTGCCAGGTCTTCCCATTCATACATGTGTGCCAGTTCGTCCGTGTATTCGGACGCATCTCCTCCCGTCATGGTGCTGTACAGGACTCATCAATGTTCCCCGGCAGGCCCCCATCGTGGTTGCTCTTTTCCAATATCCCATGAACTTCGTCCAACATCACAGTGCTTGCACCTAGATCTTGAAGACGTTTGGAGCGCATGCATAAGACTGACCCATTGACCGGATTGACGATAATCCTCACCCAATCCAGGTCCGCCAAGAGCTTCCCCTCAACCGGATTCTTGACCTTGTTTATGTTCTTCCATATGCCCCAGTTGTACATCCAGTTGTCACCACCCCATCGTTCTTTGAGCATTGCCTTTATATACGCTCGGGGCATTGACCTTTGCACTTCGGCAGGCGTGGCATCCTTTGAATTGCCAGCGCCGTCCTTCTTCTTCGGATGTATCACGCCTTCCTCATCGACATTAATCGCATTCCGCAGTGTTGCCCATTCTTCAGGTGTGAATCCCGCCGGTCGGGTTGTCTTCATCGTCCTGAATCCATGTGCACCGACTGGATATGGTCTCCCACGAACATCAATCTTGACCGTCGTTCCTGTATATAATACCATCTTTCGCCTTTCCCGTGGAGACATGGGGTAGATCAGATACATCATCAACGGCGCTCTTGTCCCCCCGACCCCCAGCTCGACAACTTCGACATCCTCACCCTTCTCATCATGCATGATCCCAGCAATCACCTCGACCTCACCGAGTTGTCCTTGATCTATATCATGCAATAGAGTGGGATCGGGGTCCTGATGGACATCTCCGCCATCTTCCCCTCGGGTCTCCTCAATTCCTTCAAGAGTTTCATTTCTCTGCTGGTATTTCTCCTGAACGGGAAACGATATTGGTAACTTGAGCACGATCCTCTCGGTCTGATGTGGTTGGCGTTGTCGAGGTGGAACTTTCGCTTTCCTTATGGAAAGGTCAGCGCCGGCGAAGCTCGTGAGTGTCTAGGCTCGATACTTGCGTGCCCAGTGAAGACCAGAACTCAGGTTGTAACCAGCGAAAATACCGGTTTCCCCCTTCGGTTCAAACTTCTCTCTCTTGTCACCTCTCGCATCGCTCGGTTTGAATT